GTTTGGGGGGGGGGGGGGGCAGCAGTTCTAGGACAAGAGGAGGAAGAAGAATATTGGAAGCCATGTATTACAACACTTCATAATATCCTTGTGTTATTGGAATCCTACTTTTATTATATTTACATGCTGTGGTGTTAGGGGAATCCAGCAGGATCGCAGGACACAGACTTTGCAAATAAAGTAAATGTTTATTAACTTACATAGCTTCACAGCAGGAAAATAACACAATAGTTCATCTTCACTGACCAGCTGGAAAACATAAACAGGGATTATTCAGTATACAAGAAAATAACAGTCTCACAGACTTTAAGGTTTCAGAGCTGCAATCGCAGTTAGACAGTCCCAGGCGTTAGATGTAACTTTCCCAGTCTAAGGCCCCATTCACACTGAGCGACATGAAAATCGCGTGATTTTATATGTGCGATATTGCGCGACTTGTCACGCTACATCGCGCAACTTTTTCCTATTGGGCTGTATGCAATCAGGAGCAAAATCGCTCGAATTCTGCAGAAAAAAGGGTCATGTAGGAGCGACGAGCTACAAGCGATATTGAGCGGCGAGATGTGAACAGCTCCATTGAAATGGATTGGAGAAGCTACATAGCTACATATCGTGTGCAAATATGAGCGTTATCGCAGCAAAAATCGCGTGATAAATCGCTCAGTGTGAATGGGGCCTAAGGCCCCATTCACACTGAGCGTATCGCAAATCGCGTGTTTGTCACGCGATTGTCATTTTGCGCGGTTTGTCGCACGATATCGTGCAAATGGTTGCATTGAGAAAAGTAGTATCGCGCAAAAATCCGCTCCAAAAAGGGTCCTGTTGTAGCGACGCACGACCCGCGACGAACAGAGCCCTATTGCCATGCATTGGAGAGCGATATCGCGTGCTAAATATCCGCGCGATAAAACGCTCAGTGTGAATGGGACCGAAAGGTTTCCAGCAAGGATACTGATATGCAGTTTCACAGCAGTACATAAAACCACACTCTCCAGCAGGTGAGTTAAAGGAGAACTATGAGGTGAGTGATTTTCACTCAGCCTCATAATCTGAGCCGACCTGTGACAATGAAACTGTCACAGGTCGGCTCAGTAGATCGGGAAGTGAGCGAACACATACAGTCGCTCGCTCACTTCTCGATCTATGCATGCAGAGAGCCGTGACTGTCACTCACGGCTTCCTGCAGGGATTCCCCCCCTTCCCCTGTCCAATCCTCCAGTGCTGACTGGCGGAACGGACGGGGGAGGGGGCGGGTACAGCTGGCTCTGCCTCTAGATGTCACTCACACAGCTTGGTGGATCCAGACAAAATTGTCGGGATCTGTTCCGGCTGCGGCGTCTCAGTATATTGAGCTTTGGGTGACGGGAGGACGCTAGTTTGTGTCCTCCCGTTACCCTTAGGAGAACTATGGGGAAAAGCCCTAACCCCATAGTTCTCCTTTAACCCTATTTTGTCACTTAAAGAGACCACAGCCCAAACAGAGGGAAAATATAGCGTCCTTCCCGGACCCACCTACGGCGTCCTGTACAATGCATGTTAAAATATGTTTTTCCTTATCTTATAATGCAAAGATTAACATGCACATCCTAGCAGTCTATATCAACCATTGTTCTCTGCAATTGGTACACTGAATTTATGAGTAAAATATGTTTTTTATGAGTTAGTGCATAGGTTCTCAAACACCGGTTAAAGCTCCATTCACACCTATATTTAGGGTTGCCACCTTTTCTTCCATCGAAACCCGAACACTCTAGTGACACACGGAATTCTTTGGGGGAAAATGAGTCGCGGCTTCTTCATATGTAAATAGCGGCACCCATTAATATGTAAATATCACAGTCAAGGGGCCAGTAGCCCCTCTCTTAATTTTGGTTGTCCCTGTCTGCCTGACATCTTGTGTCCGGGTTTCAGCTGCCATGAAACCCGGACACAGCATGCAAAACCCAGACTGTCCGGGTGAATCCTAGACAGGTGGCAACCCTACCTATATTAGAGGTGCGATTAGGGATTTCTGCTTCAAGAACTTGTGATTTTCTGCAGCAGGAATCCCTAATCCGCTGTTTACAAGCGGCAGCTGTCACCGGTTCATGTTAATGATCTGGTGACAGCTGCGGCATTTGAATGCCAGCATATCGCATGTATGTTTACTATCTGAGGTGGTTTCAGATTCTTGGTACCGTGGAATATAGAGAGGTCAAATTAAGTGAAATTAAGTGAACACTTTGTATTAAGCACTGTTGCAGGGCTTACTGGATAATATGAATAACTTATTGGCTGTAATTGCTCTGTAAAAAACAAGACACTCTTAAAAGTACATGCGTCCCATCCTGACCGGCACATGAATGTTTACAGCTCTTGTATCCATAAGTAGGAGATGGTAAGGGGGGGATGGGGGATGCAATTTACCCTTCACTCTCTTTCAATGAGTATAGGGGATCTTTTAAACCATTATTACAGATACACATCATGTGAAAGTAAAAAAGACCATTTTCAAAAACTATGATTATAATAGAAAAGTAAAAAGGTGTTTCCAGCCCTTAACTAAAATCTGGTCTCAACCTTTTTACTGCCAAGCCATCCGGAACGCTTCAAACCTCAGCTGGCCACACCATTTTTGCAATTTTTCCTATCGTTACCAAAAAGAAGCTCAGTCATGAAGGGGTTAATTGTATACTGCTGCATTGCTGGAGTTTGTATAAGACTCCCCAAACCATATATTTTCTGAAAGCACAGTCCCGGTAGAATAAAAAGACCGTGCTACTAATTTTGTAGGTCCTGCGATAATTGCGCAACATTTGTCATCAATATTAAACCAATAAAAATACACAATTACATTGATAAAAGCACACTAAAATCAGTATCAGTGCACAAAAAAATACTTTTTAGACTAAATCTAAAAGCTAAAACTGTACTGAGTTAATAAATAACAAATATTTGTAAATATTAAATTAAACCTTTTTGCGAAACGGTAAAATAAAATGAAGTAACGCACTGTTGTGTGTATGTTGTGATTAAATGATGCAGGTGTACATTTAATCACAACATATCACAACACACAGCAATGCATCACAACGCTTTGCCACACGCTGCCACAGTTAAATTAATGTTATTTGGAAAAGGACAAATAAAGCACGGTGCATGGCGTATACCACAATATGGTGCACACTGTTGCACGTGTATAATATGTGTGTGTGTGTGTGTGTGCAGGGGGTTGTGTTTTATATTATATATATTTATTTATTTTTTACTGTGGAGGGGGGGGGCTTCAAGGAAATATCAGGGGTCTAAAACAGAACCCTGACATTTCCTTTTTAAAATAGAAAAATAAATTGAGGACACAGAGTCCTCAATCTCTTTTTCTGCAGCCTCGGCACTCAATGAATGGAAAGCACTTAGTACAGAGGCTTCCCATTCAGAAACTGGCGATAGTAAAACATTTACTATCATCCAGTTTCTGAATGGGTAGAAGCCTCTGTACTAAGTGCTTTCCATTCATTGAGTGCTGATGTGAAGCACTTCCTGTTCATTCATAACTGGGAACACATAGTAACTGGGGATTTTTTGTTAATAGCTGTCATCGGGCTGTGATGACAGCTATTGTCATCACAGCCCCTGATGACAGCTAATATTTTAAAGGGGACCTTCGGGGGAACAGTTCTGGTATATGTTCATGTTGCTAAAGCGATCCTTGAACTATAGCAGAACCGTAAAAGCTGCAGACATAAGGCTTACTGACGTGACCAGCTGGAAACAGTTGTGTTCCGCCGTAAGCCTTATGTCAGTGGCAGGGAAAGTGTCAAAGCTCCGTTGGATGATGAGCCCTGGGTTACGTGTGGCATTTTTGGAGTAGTTAAATGTATGGTTAGCTGCACACACAATGCACAAAAAGACTGCACTGTCCAGTGGTTGATAGACACTGAAGCATCCAACAGTCTGATGCTTAGATACTCCAGTAGAAAAACCATCTGATTGACCTGATTTGGTGTTGGCTAGTATTACCCTTTGATTTCACAATAAAGAAGGTTCCTCGCTTTGAAGCTCCTGGTGCTTTTTTCTTCTTCTAAGAAGTACTACTCCAGTAGTGAAATCACTTTTGAGATCTAGGTCTCCTACTACTATAATAGAGGTTCTTATTGGATTTCAGTTTGCTTTTTATTATGAAGAATGCAGTGGAGAAGTAGAAACACCCCAAGACCCCAGGCACAGAACCAAGAGCTATGACAAAGATATCTGCTGGAATCTCTAAGAGATAAAGCCAGTGTGTAACTCAGCTTAGCACACTCCAACCATGAGCGACATATTCCTTATGGATAGACTGACTCTATTTACTGGACCATGGTATTCTGGAAGATTCACAGACACCAACTTTATCATTGTTGATTGGTTCGTTCTTTAAGAAGGAACCTTTTATGTAACCTTCAACTTATCCTCTGTTTCCGCCTAAAATTATTTATACCATTCTGTGTACATACATGGCTATCTTGCTAATCTGTTTGTACACATATGATATACAGTCATACAACATTTTTCCTTCCCCTTTGCCTTCTCAAAAATTAGAATGTACAGTATGTAAATAACAAAAAGGGAAATAACAGCCAGTTGGTGACAGTAAGTCTAAACGTCTAAAGCCAAGATTGTGTCTGTGAGCATGGTGCTTTACTCGGTGGTTCCCTTTTTCTGGAGGTACATAACCTTTCTAACGTATTAGTATTGTGGTTGATGTTTAAAAATAATGGGAAACTGTATGAAAGTTCTTCTGTTATCCAACAAAAAACAAACAAATTTTGGACCTGATTGGTTGTTCTAATCTGCTTTAGTCACTTTTTCTCTCCAGGACCTTTGAGAATACATTCATTGTGATTTTGTACATGTGTATATAACATTTTCTTTGTAACTGATTAATTCAGAAAATGTATGTAATGTATGTTATTTCCAACCATCTCTATTTATTTCAATATTACAGGACAATGCCGAATTGGGGCGGTGGAAAGATCTGCTCGGTTTGCCAGAAGGCTGTCTACTTTGCGGAGGAAGTCCAGTGTGAGGGTGGAAGCTTCCACAAATCCTGCTTCTTGTGCAGTGAGTCAGCCCACTTCCATGTTAAACATACTTATCTTATGTTCCAGCTGTGGGGCTTGTCTTGATTAGAATTCTTGTTCAGTGATTTACAAATGGAAGCAAGGCAAGTCAGCCACTCATATTTCCATGGTCTAGAGTTAACAGGGAAGAGAGTCTATAAAGTCCTAGCACAGATTAAAGGGAAAATTTGCCAATGTCTATTCTGGATAAGTTTAAGACTTATTCCTGCAGAGAATACTTGACTGTCATCCTATATTTATTGCAAAAGAAGAACACAGGAAGTAAAGTTATGTTTTAATGTCCCCCTTAGTTTTAGCCTGATAAAGACATTGAGGGGAATTGATCAAAACTGGAGCAGACAAAATCTTGTTCAGTTAAGATTTGAAAATGAAAGAGAAAAGCTGATTGGTTGCCATGCACACCTACTCCAGATTTTGTCTGCTCCAGTTTTGACAAATTCCCCTCATTGTATTTTCAAACTAATATGCTTAAAAAGGGAAACTTCACTTCAAAAATGAAAAACATCTTTAACTCTTTATCATACAGTATACAAGCCATTTTCTAATATGTTATTAAAAAGTACATTTGCATTTAAAACTGTAATTTTCTAAAATTGTCAAAATATGAAGTGCAATATGGCGACCTGGAGGCACTTTTACAAAGTTGGTGTACAGAACACCCCCCAGAAATGTAATTTCCCGCTTCTTTGTTTGGAAATCAATCATGTATGCTTATAGCCTGTCCGCTCCTTATGGTCCTTTGACACCTATACTTGGCCATCTTTCCTTTCCTCCCCAGTGTGGTGTATCTGTCTTTTTGTGTTGGTGCATACCTGAATCCTCGTATGTCCCCCAATATCTTCATAATGGGATGGGGAAACCTCTCACCCAGCTTTTCCACCCTAAAACTCCTCCTTGTGGAGCATGGCTTTTGAACTTTCAACTGCGACATTTTATACGGACTTTGTCTTGGGAGCATTAAATTCATAGGTCCCTGACTTTCTTTAAACAGCTCGGCCCATTCCGTGATCTAGTCTCCCTTCTTTACGGGTCCTTGATTTCCACCAACGTCATGGAGTCGCTGTATTTAATGTCTGCATGGGAGAAAGAACTGAATGTGGCTCTTACAGAGCATGGTAGGATTGCATGTTTCTGTTTTACTCATAAGCTGGGCATGGCCTCCTCTGTTCGGGAACATAATGTCAAACTCCTGAAGATTGCATCAAATTCACTCCGAAACTTCTGCCTTATGCCGGTGTCACGAACCGCGGCGCCGTCTCGTTGCTAGGAGACGGGCCGGCAGGCTTGCATATTCGGCTCCTCCCTCCAGACGTCTCCCTCGGACTCGTCACACATAGGAGTGAGGGCGTAGCAGCCTGGCCCTTCGGAAGCATCCTGTTGCTAGGAGACGTTCGGGAGGGCCTCTGCTGACTGCTCCGCCCCAACACACCTGCCTACTCATAAAAGCCTGGAAGGCACACTTGCTCAATGTTCTAGCGAGGTAGAACGTTGAGCAATTTCTTAGGGCTCATACCTCTGCTCCAGCACATGAACCTTTCACTCCAGCAGCATTAATCCGGACTCCTTCCAGCACAGCAGTGATCCTTCGCCCTGTACTCCTGGAGGGCTCTGAATACCCCAACAAACCGCAAGTACCATCCTGGACCCTGTAATTGTTTACATTGCCTGCAACTCAGTGGGGTTTAAAGAGACACTGCTCTACAAAGGGGGCTTGCTCAGGAGTACTCCTAATTACTGTTTGATAAGCCTGCAATAGTGTTATGCATTAGTGGAGTGAACTACTGTATACCAAAACAAATACGGGACTACTTTTCTTTCCTCTGCCAAGTTGCTGTAGTTGCTATAGTTTTTTGCATTCATGGAGTGAACTACTTTATTTTGAACTACAAATCCCCACAGGCCCCAACTAACCACAATATTGCAAAGAGGGAAGGTTCACTTATTGTTATCTCTGCAATTACAGCCTGTGGTGGCATATGATGTGTTAAGGGTTCCAACCTCACTCAGCCACACTAAAGAGTGTAAGTGTGAACCCCCCACCTGAGCCATCCACAAAGCCTCTCCGCAGCTGAGATCCTCAGCCAAACTCGCTCAATCATTACAGCCGGAGATGCCAAACTGAATTGGGCACTATGGCCTATATTTGGTGGAGCTGCCCTCAGATTCAACCCTTCTGGCAGACAGTTTCTCAAATCTACTCCAAGGTTGCTATTAAAAATATCACCCTGATTCCAAAAATAACCTTAGTGTACATCCTCCTAGGCTCCATTTCCAAGGTGAAGAAATCCCTCCTCCAATTCTTTATCAATGCGGCTTGAATTCTGATCCCTAAGTATTGGAATTTCACATCTGTTCCCCTGGTCTGCAGAGTTGTGCCTCATAATGCCGTCAGAAGAGCTGATAGCTCAACAAACCAATAGTGAGTGGGTAGGGGAACAGAGAGATGGACATGGACTAAAAACCCCTCCGTGCAACCTTTATCGTCATATCAACCATGGGATATCGAACAGTCCCAGAAGTGAGGGTGGAGAAGAGCCAGGGTAGACCAGAAAGGGGCCCACTGTTTATGAGAGGAATTGCAACACCAGTCCACGACTCTGTTGAGGTGAACCGCCTTATAATAAAGGTCAATGTTAGGTAAGCCCACTCCACCTTTTGACTTAGGTAGTGTAAGCATGCAACTATGGATCCTGGGATGTTTATGGGCCCAGATAAATTCAGTAGTTGTTGAAGACGAGTAAAAAATCATTGCAGTAGGCTAATAGGAAGACCCTGCATAAGTTATAGAAGTTTGGGCAGAATCGTCATTTTGATGGAGTTGCACCTACCAAACCAAGTAACAGTGAGGGTGTGCCATTTCTGCAGATCCAGCATGATACTGGATAACAAAAGGAAAAGTGGGCCTGGCATAACAAAGACAGGAATAATTACAGGTCCCTAGGTATTTAATGGCTTTGTCAGCCCAACAAAAAGAAAAACTGGCTCGGAGAGAAGTGACATCGGGAAGCGAGGTACTCAAAGCCGTCAACTTGGCCCAGATGATACTGAAATTTGACAGGGACCCGTAGTCATGGAAGGCCTGCATAAGTTCAGGAAGGGAGGTCTGGGGACGAGAGAGAAAAACAATAAATCATTGGCGTATGCCGCAACTTTATGTTCTGTATTTTGTAGATGAAGGCTTTCTCGGCATCGGTTGACAGGCACATCAAAAGGAGTAGAGTTGGAGCGGGCATAATGCAGAATGTTGAGGACTCTTGCGGTGTTGTGGCATCATAGGCAAGGACGAAAACGACCTGATCTGTATGAATAGATTGTTGAATACAGGACATCAGTCGTTTGGAAATAATTTTCGAGAAGAGTTTTAGATCCGCATTTAAAAGAGCAATGGGACCATAACTCCCACAGTGCACCGAATCCTTACCGTCTTTAGGGATCACTACGATGTGTGCCCTTAGTGAGTCAGCGGAAAAAGGAGTGTCATGTAAGAGCGAGTTGAATTCCGCCAGAAAATGAGGGGACAAGTTGTCAAGAAAAGTATGATAAAGGAGGTGAAACCGTCCGGGCCTGGAACCTTTCAATTTTTGGATGGTTTCATCGCCAGATCCAGTTCCTCTTCCGAGATGAGCAGTTCAAGACCCTTGCTTATCTCTGAAGGAATAGAGGGCATACCTGAGCGGGGCAGGTAGGATAGGATTTTGTTAATCTTGTCAAGTCTACCCTGGGCAAATAAGTCAGAGGAGTGAAATTCCGCTGCATGTCTGATGACAATGAAAGCCCCCTACCTTCATTAGAAACAATATTGAAGATCTTTTATGGACAGCTTCCAAACAATGAAGGCGTTGAAAAGGCAAGCACAGGGACACAGTCAGCAGGGCCCAAGGCCTATATACCCACTGCAGATGGCTATTTACCTATTAGATTTTATATAGGGTGATGGCATAGCTGTCCCTTTCCTGGGTCTTGTCGATCAGCTGCTGTCACTGTTTGGGTATTCTGAAAGCTGTGGACATCGGCTGTAAGAATACAATAGCCCATTAGGGGAGTTTCCTCCATCCGTGCTGTTTAGCATGGATGGAGGAAACTGTTGGATTGATGTCATTCAGCCTGTGGGCTGAATGACATCAATCCAACAGATTTGGATGGATGAATCCAGCAGATTCCTCCATCCATGCTAAACTGTGTGGATAGACTGATCTCCTCTGCTGGGATATTGTATTCTGATGTAGATTTTTTTCTGACAGCTGTATCGTCTACGTGTATGGCCAACTTTACACACCAGATGTTTACTAAGTCAGATATCATTAACAGATTGTTAGTGTTTCATATAGTCATTATAATTCATGGTGCTATAAAATGTCCTTGTGTACAATTTGTGTACAATTTAAAGTAGTAGTAAAGTGATATTAAAGCTTTAGATTTTTGTTTTTATTTTTAGTAACGGGAGGCAGCCTTTATTGCAGATCTTTTTTTTTTTTTAAATGCATTAGGGTAAAAAAACCTACAGTCTTTATTACTACTTTAAACCCTCTGCCTTTTTAAAATGTACTGGGTAATGTCAAGCAGTGCAACATTACCCAGTAAATTTTTTCCTTAAAAGGTGCCCAAAAAATTAATTAGCGCACCCCAGCACTGAGATGTCACCGATAGCTCCTAGTCTCAAACTAACGATTGGGATCTGGGAAGACTGGCTCCCGATAATGTAATCATTGTGATAGAGAGTCACAGTAATCTCTGTAAATGGAAGCCTCCCCTGTACTGTTTCTCCTTGGGGTGAATGCTTCCTTCTGCCTGCAGCAGACTGATGACATCATCTAAGCCTAGGCAAAGGCACCTGATTGGAGTTTAAGTATGGCATTTTATTGTTAAAAGCATCAAAAATTATGCTGTTGCTGTATATTGTGACTTAATTAATGTAACAATTATTGTTACAATGTATTACACTTGGCCGTTTAAATATGCATTAAAAGTACTATGGTCCAAAATGTTTTTGCCATTTACTATGTCCTCCTGTGACCCAAAACTCAGCATGCCCACTATGTGATGACATTGCAGAGCTACGCTGCGGCCAGGAAAGATTCCCGACAATATTGTCGGGATCCACCCTGCCACCTGTTTGACAGCTGGCCCTGCAGGGACTGACAGTCACCGCTCTCTTCAGGGAGAAGATTGGCAACTGAGCAATCTGTGGTATGTGATCGATCAGTTCTCAATCTATAGAGCCAACATGTGTCAGCTGCAGTGTCACACGTTGGCTCTAATTTATGTGGATGAGTGTATTTCACTCTCCCCATAACTCTCCTTTAAAGGTTACATAGTTTTTATTTTAACACAGGAAATACATTTGTATTGTAGTGCACAATTCTAAACTGGAAGAAGAAGCTTTTAAGCAGCATGAGTAATCTGGCTTTTGTCATCTGCAGGAAGTGAAACAAAGCAGGTCTGGTCATTAGAGATAGAAAGAAACAGGTTTCGGAAGCAATGTTTTTTTTTGTAGGGCGGTGCAGCAATATTCTTATATTCCTGCCCTTCCTCCTTCTGTGCATAGACAGAACACAATCCTAAATTACAGCCAAACATTATCTATTCAATCAACATTCATTTTGATGCTGGAGCAAAGATTTGGTAATAGGAATGAATTGCATGTATTTACACCAATGCACGCAAACTACATAAATGCCTAAAGCCCATCTCCGGGGAAACAAAAAACTCCCCTTGGAGTTTAACTGCAAAGGTTAACTGCTCGTTTATGTCTAGGGGATTGTGTAAAGCAGTTTTACTTTCCTGATCCCTGCTTCCCGATGGTCACCTGTCTCCCCTAAGTTTACCATCAGCTTCCTCGCATATAATGCAGGGCCATCCGGCATTACACAGGGTGACGTCATAAACCCCTGACTGCCGGAGCTTGTTGGAGAGGCTGGGGTGAGCCTTTTTAAGATATTTGAACTGCCTCCCACCCTGTAAGATCACTCATTTCCTGTCTCTAAACTAGAAAATCAGATGTCATGGCAGCCCCTGCACAAAGCTATGCAGTTGAGCCATCACAGACGCATGACATACTAACAAGCTAGCTTAATGCAAGAGCTAATCTATTTGCTATTTCTATGTGAACCAAAAGTCGACCCTTGATTCCAATTCCTTTGATTCAGCACCAAGTGTTTTCTGGATAGGGTTTCCAGCTTTCTGACCCACTCAACCTATTGTCTGGAGGTGGTTTTCAAAGCTGAACACCATACAAATACACAATTGAAGTATAAATATCACTTGTTTTTCCTGCCCATGGATTTGTAATTTGTTCAACCGCATTGTGTGTTTAATCCACTCCCACCCATGGTATGTTATTTTAACACATAAGATAGTCAGTCCATTGGTGGAGTTTCATATTAAGCTGTCAATTATAATGGATGTGGCAATGTATTGTTTTTCTTTTCATTTGCATAAGATTTTTTACAAACACCTTTTGCAGTTTCTTATAATTTTTGCATTAAAAAGATATCTAATCCCAAGAACAACAATTTAACATGCTGCAGCCTAATAGTCCATAGATGTGTTGACTGCATTAGTCTTCATTTTTCAGGCTAAGAACATTTTCATCAAGTACAGAAAATACCTGTTAATCCAGGGGTGGAAAATAATTATGGAATTCAGGAGCCAGTCTGTTCAATCCAGGAGCCAGGATTTTTTTTAGCAACCAGTTTCACTGACAGCAACTAAAGGAAACCTCAAAAATGAGTTGCCACTTGCAATTTCTGGTGACTTGTCCAGCTCTGTGTTAATCTTTCTGAAAATGCAGTGTCCTTGTAATTCCTGTGAAATGTAAATATACGAAACAATGGTATCTTCCTTACAGGCTTTCCGTAAACTCCTAATTAGATAAAGCCACATTTGTAGTCCTGCTGTGGGGTGACAGACATGGCTCCCTACATAGATAAAGTGTGGTGAGTAAGCTTTGCCACACTAGGACAGACATTGTGTTTCTGACAGGATTACCAGATAACAATCACAAAGAAAACAAATGCAGCCACTACATTTAAAGATTGATAAACTGAAAAAAAAATTGTTTTGGGGTTTAGATGCACTTTAACTAAATTGGTTTTAAATAAAGAAATTTGACATTGTAATCGGAATCCTCTTCCTGATGTTGATTATTGTCCTAGCTGAGCAAATCCTTCTACGATACAGTAGTGGCACAGAAAGCCTATGTATCTGAATAGAGGCATCATCATGCCTTAACTGTAGAGCCAGAAATGGACATGGCTAAAGTAGTATTAAGGTCTGGGCATTTTTTACCTTAATGCATTCTCTGCATTGGGGTAAAAACATCCCAGTGCCTTTTTTCTCCCCCCCAGTCCCCCCCACACTTACCTGTCAGCTACGTTCATCCCCGCCGCCGGTCACAAAGCGATCCTCAGTTCCCCGAACTTCCTGGTTTCAGGGGGAGGATACTGATGGCAAAGGAGCCAACAATCAAATTGTTGGGTGGAGAGGAGGGGCGTGGTCTGCCACAGGGCTGGGTGTGTCTATGGACGCACACAGCCACTGCGGGCACGAGCGCACACGAGTGCCTCCATTAGCCGATAGCTGAGGCACCCGTGTAGGGGGCGGGGGGAAGATTGATGCGTGGACCTACTAGAAAACGCGGAATTACAAACTTTTAAAGGAGAACTATGGGGTCAGTGTTTTTCCCCATAGTTCTCCTTGGGGTAACGGGAGGACACAAACTAGCATCCTCCCCTTACCCTAAGCTCAGTATACCGCGAGCTACAGCTCGCGGTATACTGAGACGCCGCACCTGGAGCGGATCCCGACTTAGATGACGGGATCCGCCCAGCTGCGTGAGTGACCGCTGGCTCTGCCTATCTAGAGGCAGAGCCAGCTGTACCCGCCCCCTCCCACGTCCGTTCCGCCAGTCAGCGCTGGCAGATCGGAGCGGGGAGAGGGGAATCCAGCCCCTCCCCCTGTCACGGCAGAGAGCCGTGACAGGATCGAGAGGTGAGGGAACCCGGTATGTGTTCGCTCACCTCCCGATCTATTGAGCCGACCTGTGACAGTCTCATGGTCACAGGTCGGCTTAGAACTATGAGGTGAGTGGAAATCACTCATGTCATAGTTCTCCTTTAAAGAAAAACAACAACAATCACTTGTATGAAATATTTTTATTTTTTTTAAAGGAGGCTTTATTATCACTTTAAGCTTGTAAATGCTAATCTTTATAGCATTCGATTCTGCAAGTATTTACCATCTAACAATCGTGCTGACTTTAGCTTTTAGCAGGATTCAGCAAACCTAAAGTGTATTTCCACTTTTACAGGCAGATTGGGGATGAAGTGTGTTTTACTTGCTCAAAAATCCTACCTAGCTGCACCTTATGCAATGTTTAGGAGGGGGCTGGAGCGGGTTGTGGGAAGATATATTTACTCTAACCTTGACTGTACTCTGCTGGCAGATTTAATTTCCAATTGAGAATTATTTAGCTTAGACTAAGTTCAGACCAATTGTATTCTAGACAGGAAACGGTTAATAAAAATCTAAGACACAACCAGGCTAACTCAGTAAGGCAATCCATATTGCAGTATTCTATACAATCAATCAATATTCATCTTTTTACTCATCTGACAACAGTAAACTGAGATCTGTTTGATTGCTGTGAGTTATCACTTTCTGCTCAGTATCAAAGCAATTTGCACTGTTTTGATTAAGCTTGATTAAAAATAATGAATTTACTTGTAGTATACTTTTAGTGTACTTTAACATTACATTTTTTTAATTCCCAATGCATTTGTCTTCTGCAGTGGTATGTAAGAAGAATCTTGACAGTACCACAGTTGCGATTCATGGGAATGAGATCTATTGCAAGTCATGCTATGGGAAGAAATATGGGCCCAAAGGATACGGATTTGGACAAGGAGCAGGCACTCTGAGTATGGACCGGGGTGAAGCCCTGGGAATCAATCCTGAAGAGTAAGTTTATGCCTATATTCACTGAGTTAGGTTAATGGTTCTTGGTTTGAGCTTCTTCAACTTAGGGAACCAGGCCGCATACCCGGGACATGCAGTCTGGGAAGGCAGGTGAGGCAGAGCCTCCATTTAGACCGGCTTCTAACAACCTGCTGTGAAGAGCAAGTGGTATGTCCGTTTATATATAACTGGTGGATGGCAGGTGGTTAAACTGCTGTATGCCAGTGAATGTCAATAAGGCTGGCTGTTTTCTAGCTTTATAGAAGATGTCCTGTATTGTCCACAGAACACAGAGTCTATCATACATATCGTTATGCATGCTATGCATTTATAAGAAGGGGAAAATGCAGAGCTGTTGTCAGGTAGCAGATGATAAAATAAAAAACATCTACATGATACATTGACTTGGGTCTATTTATAAACAATTCACGGGGTCGTTTGCCCTGCGAATATCTGTGAACATTCTATAAGTGCGAATATATGCCAAAATGAACATTCATTAGCTGTTTCTTTACAGTGTAATGTATTTTCAAATGTTTTTTCCATGTAATACCACATTATGGCCAGTATATGGCAATGAGGAGCATAAAAAAATACTTATTTTCTGTGCTTCTCAGCGACATCTATTGGCCATAATGTGGTTTTACATGGGAAAAAAAATATAAAAATAAACTGCATTAGAAAGAAAAAAACGAAAGAACATTTGGTCCAAACAAAAGGAATTTTGGTCCACTCATCTTTGCAGAATTGTTGTAATTCAGCCACATTGGAAGGTTTTCGAGCATTAACCGCCTTTTTAAGGTCATGCCACAGCATCTCATTGGGATTCAGGTCAGGACTTTGACTAGGCCACTCCAAAGTCTTAATTTTGTTTTTTTCAGCCATTCAGAGGTGGACTTGCTGGTGTGTTTTGGATCATTGTCCTGCTGCAGAACCCAAGTTCGCTTCAGCTTGAGGTCACGAACAGATGGCCGCACATTATCCTTCCGGATTTTTTGGTAGACAGCAGAATTCATGGTTCCCTTTCTCACAGCAAGTCTTCCAGGTCGTGAAGCAGCAAACAGCCCCAGTGTCACGGGCGCCATGTACCTGAGGTGAGACCGAAGAAATGGGGAGGCCTCCCTTGCACCTCGGGTCCTTGAAGTCTCTGGAGATGGAGACAGAGACTTGGTGGACACCGAGTGGCACGGGTGCCAGGGGTGCGGAGCACCGTGCAAGCCTTAGTCCGAGAGCCGAGGTCAAGTCCAGTCTGGCAATGAAGTACACAAGGGTTAATCAGAAGAATGGTCGAGATCCAAGCAGGGGTCGGTTCCAGTCTGGCAGCTGAGTACAAAAGGGGCAAAGAAGTAGAATGGTCAAGGTACAAATCCGAGGTCAATGGCAGGCAGCAATCAAGAGTAGTCAAATAGGTTTCCAGGTCACAACAAGTTCAGACAGATCACACACTAGCACAGGAACAAGGGGGGACTGAAGATAATCCAGCAATTTGGCAGTGTCTGGGCTGGGCTTATATAGGGAAGTGATGATTGAAGTTTGAGGTCACTTCCTGTGCGCCTCCTGGGTATTTTCCTGCCTTTGTTCATCAGGTTGAGGTCACTTCCTGTGCGCCTCCTGGGCATTTTCCTGCATTTTTCCATCAGCTCTTCTGCACATGCGTGGGTTGGCGCACTGATGCGTCTTTGGCACATGCGCAGTTGGTGTGGATTTCTTCCCCAGCATTGCCGCTCCATCGGCTTCGACACAAGCTGGGGCCCCATCAGCGACGCTGCTCGTGACGTCACTTCCGGCCAGTCTGGCGGCAGAGGAGGCCTGGTGTGCAGGTAAGAGGAGCTAGCAAGGAGGGAGGGGGATGCAACCCTGACCAGCCTACCTTAGAACCCCTTCAGAGCCCACTATAGACAGTCTCAGATGGGCTGTGCAGCATCTATGGTGGGCTCAGCAGGGTCACTCTCAGGTGAGTCCAGCGCGTCACTAAGCCCTGAGTCCAGCGCGTCACTAAGCCCTGCGTCCAGCGGGTCACCAAGCCCTGCGTCCAGCAGGTCACCAAGCCCTGGGTCCAGCGGTTCACCAAGCCCTGGGTCCAGCGGTTCACCAAGCCCTGCGTCCAGCGGTTCACCAAGCCCTGCGTCCAGAGGTTCACCAAGCCCTGCGTCCAGAGGTTCACCAAGCCCTGCGTCCAGAGGTTCACCAAGCCCTGCGTCCAG